GTATAACATTTTTTTAATAAGATGCATTTTATACAACTCCTTAACTGGTAACTGTAAATACAGAAGATTTAGTTACATGACATAGTTCCTCATTAATTTTACAGATTGCAACTCTGGCATTTACTGAACATCACTGAACTGTGTTCATCTGCGCAGCAGAATTTGACGGACCCTCCTCCTGCTGTTTTTCCACACTCTGGGGCAGAGGGGAGATAATAATGTCAGTATACTTGGAGATAGATTTACATTCTTTAGGCTACTTCACACAAACACTGGCACTCCGAATGTGTAGATCATTTGATGTGTATACACTGTATTAATATTACCTCTGTAGACCTCTCTGTGGCAGACATAGTTTCATTATCCTCATAGTCCTATGAAGACGAGCATTTGGTTAGAGTACACTTTATAATACTACCTATCATAATTTAAGCTTTATTTAGTAGGATACTTACAACAGCCTGGGGTTCTGCTGTGACAGGAGGCTCCAAAAGGCAGCTTTTACCATCAGAATCTGTTAAGACCAACAAAAAACCCAACCCAGAGTGTAATAAATGAATATATCAAAAGTAGCCTATTTAAAAAATAAAATATATAGGTAGGCCTCTTACATGTAATGAATGCACTTGTATCCTGGGGAGTGACTGGTTCTGATGAACTCCCTCCAGGAATTCCCTCAGCCACTGGCTTTCCAGTCTTCAGGCTGAGGTCCATCTCCTCTCCATGTGTCAGTGGTGGTGGTGCAGGTCCTCCACCAGTTTTTCTAGCCTCTGCCTTCTTTCTGTTGGCTGAGTAGAAGTCAAATGATTTAATTGTGTGAAAACAACATTACACCCATGTTGAAAATGCTGCTGCACTGCTATACTCTGCATGCTATTTAGTTATTTAATATGTCAAATGTTTCAAACATGTTATAGATCAAGTCATAATAAAATAAACTATTTTTACTTAATGTCAAATGTGACTGGCCAACACCACAGGCTATTCTGTGATACTCAGACACTATGTGTTTGTCAAGTTCGTCCTGTCTGTAGGACTGGCAGGGAGACTCTATAAATGGTCGGGTCTGGTTTCCTCTCACAACTGCCTGTTTATGCTGTCTACATATTCGACAGAACATTCCTAAAACCAAAAAGAAAACTGAAACAATCCCCTATTCATTCTCTATGTACTGTATTTTATCCATCTATCTACCTATGTTATGTATGTATGTAATGTAAGTATTTACTTATTTACTTACCAATATCAGTCCTGTACATCCAGGAGTATTTCCCCTCTGACAGCCAAGCTGGGCCAAAACCTGTCGTCCAATGGTGACTGGGCTTTTGCTGCTTGTCAGGAGCAGGGTGTGCAGCACTTGGGCTCTTTTCTGTACTTTCTGTAATTTTTTCCTCCACAGGTGGATCCTCATTGTGTGAGACTTGGCTTGGAGTTCCCACTGTACTGTGTGAGGAGAAGCTTGGTATTTCACCATCATGGAACTTTCCTGTCTTGTACTCAAAGGTTGACAAGTCACGTCCCTCGAGTAATGAGGCCAGTTTTACTTTGCTCCTCACACGAGTGCTCTTGGGACTGTGAATGAGAAAAACTGTTACAACTAAAAAGAATTGTTTTTTCCATCCAGTACAAACACCTCTAAATACAATTCAACATCATTAGGCTAAAACATACAACTGACACCGCTAGGTCAACAAAAACTGAACATTACTGACATTATAAAAGTAAACTAGCAGAACAGTTGTACTGGACCGCATTAGATTATACAAGTGTACCTAATGTAGTGGACACTGTGTTTATGATAGGGTATGTTCTGCCCTCTAAATTAAAAACAACTCTAAAGTTGGATGTTTTATTAAATTCTATGAGACAGTGCTTACCTTCGGTAATATACATCCTTCTTGTCGATGCTGTTACCTGAGCGCCGAACAACTTCTTTTCGTTTCCAACCCTCTCCAAGTACTGAACAGTCTTCCCATCCCTCGTCAGGATGCGATCGCTTACGGCAGGGAATATTTGGTCTGAAATTAAAAGAGGAGATGGGAATAACATGTTCAAAAGCTTTATGCCACCTGGAAAAACTAGACATCACATGCAGCCATCTAAGAAAATCATAATATGATAAGCTCACGTCTCAATACTGTGCATATGACAATAAACACTTTGAATCTTGAATCAGTGGTACTGTGTGTTTATTTTTTGTCAACAGATGGAGGCAATAGACTCTGGTGATTTTGTGTATTGTGGACAATTTGTCAGTATTGTTTATTAATACATGTACATTGTGTGGAGATTTTGTCTTTTGTATCCATTTATTAAACCAGGAAAACCGCTACAAGTTGGGGGGAGGGTCCTTTGTATGTGGATTACCAAGTTAGCCTGATAATTTTGTTGACAATTTCACATGATACCAGATCTGTTGGCTCTTCGAAAGTCTCATGGGACCTGTTGTCATGGCAATAGGTACGGAATATCAAATATGCTTGGGAGCAGGTTAGTTCTCAGGTTTTTTCAGTGTAAAAAAGATAAATTCATCACCCTCAATCAGTTACATAATTATTTGTAGGAAAAGTCAGAAGTGTTCTACTGTTGCACAGAAAAGGCTAAATTTGCAGAATATCAAACTTGATTTAAAAACTCATTT